TGAAACGTGATCTATGTCTTTCAAGATGGTTAATCATACATCACAAACTGATCTCATTTGATCGGTTCAATTTCGACTTCCGATAACACTATGGGGAATGGGTGGTTGAGACAAGATGAGCCGGATCAAAAAGGTGGAGGAGTGTGTAAATGTGGCAGCTTTGCGGCATGGAAAGTTTTGTGGACATACTGGGTTGTATCGATTTTTTGCGGATCCCGATCACGCATTCGAGCACACAGAAGGATAATGGGCGATAGTTTTTGTGTGCGTGCTTGACAACGTCAATAAAGATACCCGCATAAACCGATCAAACAGGAATACCCATTGGAAATAGTGGTTTACTCTGTTCGAAATGTTCGTTTTCAAAATTTATACGTATCCTAAATTTTTGAATTGAACAGAGCAAGCTAACAACCCCCACAACAACTACTACTATCATTGTTACTAATAGTATTTGCACTTATATTTCATCCTCAGACATTAAAACGTGATAACGCGTTTTAGATTGACTCATGACATCGACAGGACCGACCATATGTGTACGTTTCATGGAAATAGCGTTCAGAAAACGAGATGGTTTAAACAACGCAACATGTTTCCAGCATCCGCCAAATCTACTAATGGTTCATGGCAGATTGTTCATTTCTAATATGTCTAAAATGACGTAGGAAGCATCCTCTCGGTGCCACTTTAATTTAACACCTAAGATTCAACTGTGATTTGTTTCTCGCTTTTCAATCTACTGTCTATAGTTAACTTCTTTATATTTGTTCTGTTTTGGGTATAAATTTTACATCCTGCTCAGGCGAAAATTGTCTCCGAAGTTGTGCATTCTGAAGTGCACTACTCCAGATTTGATCATCCCTTCTACTAATACTTCTTCTTCTCTGTCGTCATTCTTTGAGACTAAGTTATTTCAGCATATTTCACGTGTGCTTTCTTTTTACCAGGCAAAAAAAAACATTTTCTGTACTGTATGGAAGACCTCTAATTTTCCGGTTCCCCCTTCCTGAAACTGGTATCACTTTATTTAGACGGCGAATATTTGAATTAGCCCATTTGGTTTTCAAGAGGCATTGTTGACAACCGTGCGTGTGGGTTTCAGTCACATTTAAAGATATCTATCATTGTATGTTCGATTAAAGGAAGCAAGTTGAAAGATGGGGATAAAAACATTGACTAGAGTCAGAATAACTTGCTTGAGACAGCTTTGGATCATAAATACCACTCTGTCCGAAAGACACATTTTCGGGGAATGGATTCCGTGTGCTTCCCTGTTTTGCAGAAAAACTGCAAACACTGTGTGCACTGAGTTCATCGGATGATTGTTGTTGTATCATGATACTAAATGTGTGTTATGATAAGGTAAAGATATATATGTATATATTGACATGGACACGTGTAATAACGGTTGCTTCATGACTTCTTGCATACTATGGTTCGTGTCGACTGACAGGTATGTTCCGCTTTGGTGATGAGGACTTCACCAGGAATGAAAGACAATCCGGTTTGAGATGGTGCTGTTTAGGCTCAGGCGAATTGAATGGGAGCTTCGGGATTCATTCGTGTCAAAGAGAAAAAGATCGCAAAATGAGCTCACCTGATATTAGTTAATGAACCTATACGGAACAATCTTTACACCTGTTGAGGTGGCTCACTTTTGGTCGGCGCGCCGAATTCGGTTCTCAACAGCACCCCTAGTAGATGGATACTAACCCACAGATAAATTAAATTTCGTCGTTATACAGTAGGGTAACTGTGATGGANGATGGATAGCACACATTTGCTTACCATTTTATAGCCTCTCCTGAAAGTGAGATGTTGCTGAACTTATATCGCTCTATTAGTCAGCATGTTCAATAAATGTGTGCATATAAACCAAGAATCGAAGGCCACTGAGAATGGGCTGGACTATTCTCACTTAACTCTTTTGATCAGGTTCCCACTTCTCATTCTGCAGTCAAATTAACCAATACAAATTCTTCCGAAGGTTATCGATCTTTACCAAACGCGTTAGGACGTATCTTATGAAGGTATCAGAACTCAAGATTGGTCAGTTATCCAACGTGGATGAACCAATGAAGATGACTGGTTTTATAATTTGGATTATATTTATGGTCACTTCAAAGGGACACGTTGTTGTTCACGCTCATCGATCCCCGGGATTTCTATGCACCGCTTAAGGCATGTGCAGTGCATGATCAGTATTTTTCCTACTGCAAATATTTTTTTGCAAAGCAAGAAGAAGTAAAGACGGACCTTTCATAGTATTAAGCTTGGATTAGGGGTAAGGGTTTGACGGCCCAAACCGGATGTTCGGGTTTCGAGTCCTGACATGGACACAAAAAGTACGCACTGCTGACGAGTCCCAAACCGGACGAAACAGCTGACCAGTTCTCTTTGTCGGTCATCACAAACATTTCCATCGCATTGATAGTACCAGCAGTCTATTGGGAAATTCTTATATGGAATGCTTTTCTAAGGAATGCCCTTTTACACAACATCCAAGCAAAAATGTAACCTCGTCGGGCATACTAAACCAGACAGTAATCGCCGAAACAGTTTTGTTATATCCTTGAAAAGATATCCTTTCATCACTCACTGTGGGTCTATGACTCTTCTAAAAAGAATTTTGAATCTGGTGTGTTGAGAATAATGTTTTATAGTTGACCGACTAAAATTGACTAACCAGGATACCCCTGACACCAACACCGTAGGTAGTGTATGAATGGATCACTTATCGCATTCGTTAGTTCACGTGACCTATCCAGGGCCTTCATTCAGCATGTCGTTCGCCAAGTTTTGCTGATTTCTTGAAAGTGGCGACTGATCGCTTTAGGGGCAACGTATCACGTGGTTTGTGCAGGTAATCTACCTCTTATCTCGATCGAACTGCATTGTTTCAACAGCCGCTGCATCCTGGAAATAACGGACTGAGCTAATCCTGATAAACGAACTGTGACGGTCAGTTTGATTGTTTTATCATTTAATGGGTGGTTTTCACTACTCCTTATTTTGCCAATCGAGAAATCGATATGCACCAAATTGCAAGGCCTTGTTAAATTTATAACATCAGGAATGTCATAAGTCATCAAAGACATCAAATAATAAAATGACTGTCCAGTGCTAAGGCTGGACATAATTTATAAGCTCTTTTTATGTTCATTGTAAAAGTTTTCCGTGTTTAGTTATCACCATTTTCAAGTTTATCTAATGATTCACAGCACAGTGTGTAAATATAAAAATAGAGAAAGCGATTATCCACATCTTGGAGGCAAGTGAAAAAGGTCAAAACACCGTGAAACGGACTGATCACTTTCGGATGCGCTAAAGCAATTTAAGAAGGGGAATTTTTGTCACATATGTACACGTATAACGTAACGAATCATTATTTAACCCAATCCTGTTAGACGGTGGTTGTATTATTCGAACCATAAATTGGAAACAGCTTTTGAGTGAATTTGACTTTGAAACCGCGCAATACATACGTGGACATTAAACTGAAAGTTATCATTTTTTATCCCACTCCCATATATCGTGTTGGCTTATTGATATTGCTGCAAGTAAAATCCCATGTGAGATTCTGCATTTTAGTACGGATTGGTCAGTAAACGCGGTGTCGCAAACTGTCGTTTCCCATCAGCTTGAATTGGTTTGCGCCCGGGACATTCGAGACTTTCACTTCTTTCCTATCTGCAAATCTGCACACATTTCTAAGCGGTGTGTATATAAATAGAATAATGCCGTGGGGAATAACATCGAACACTAATCCCCTGAAACTCTAACAAAAGCTTATAGACTTCGGTTCTGTAATCACGCAGCGCGCATTCGCTTGACTTATTGAAAGGTGGGAAATGTTTCAATTTAAGAATATTGTTCGTCTACTCATGAGTAATCAAAATAGAAAGCCATACTCATTCTGGACTCCAACTTCTGAGTACTACTAATTTTCAGTCGAACATTGGGAATAAGGCGTTTCCGATTCATCAAAATCTGCAACATCAAAACACGTTTTTATTGAAAAAATCATCAAAGTTGAAGACTATCCGAACTTAACGCACAAAAATATAACAAAAATGAACGAAGACAAATGGAAACCGAAGAGCGCTGGGAACAGAGAAATCTAACTGATTACGTGAAGATGTACACTTTGAAAAATAAATAAATTCACAAAGAAAAAACAGTGATACTTCAAAGAGGGGATTTCGATTATAAATTAAGCCAGTGTCATCTGGGAGCGATTGTGCGAAAGCGTTTTCAAAATGGCATCTCGCAAGTTGTGCGTTCTCGAAGCTGTTCTATTCATTCCGTTCTTTATCCGACTTGCTTCGGATGGGAAAGCGCTGGGTGGGCGTACAGAGGCATGCGCGAGTGCCTCAAATGAACGTTTTATTGCTGACACGGACTCTCGGTTCAAGCTGGGAACATCGATCGGGGGTGTTTGTGTACTATGTGCTACTGGTGCACATGGTTCTCCAGATGCCGCTTCAGTGTGTGACTGCGTTGGACTTCGTTCCGGGGTGGATTGTTCTGATTCATTCACACGATCGGCCCTCTTAGGATAAGCTAATGAGTCCATCGTGGACGAGCTGCATTCCTCTTGCGGAGGTCCACATGTTGGCTGGAACTGTGGTGCGTTAGACAGCAATACTGTTGGAATCCAATCGGAATAGACATGAAGGATGAGGAGGGGTAAAAAGTAGACATTTTATGTCACTTGTGCACAATCAACCAAAGTGCTTTCTTTGTTTCAATCAAATGAGCTACTTTGCGAACCCAATCAAAGGTCCAAAACTGAATTGAATCGTGTGTCTTTGTGCACGATGAGTTTCCTCATGATACACTTACTATCGGTGGTCAGCGGCATAGGTCCAAATGACATCAACCCCCGGCCCATGTGTTCAGACGCCCCCACCTTGCTACCAGCTTATCTCCGTATTTCTGTAAATCTCTTTTAGTCTCNCCCCCCCCCCCGCTAAGTTGATTGACTGTACACAACTCTATGTAATGCAAGCAATTATTATCAATGCTAATATTATTATTATCATCATCATTGTCACTGATTTGGGCTGCACCTATGATGTGTACCCTATAATAAAACAACCAGCAAATATGAAAGCTAAAGGGCAGAGCAAGCCAAAATATGTGAGTGCCAAAACTACTATAGGAAATGCATCAAAAAGTACAGCATTAATGACAGATGGAACTGAGTTTAAACGAAATAACTTCAAGCTTTCACTCCGAACAATGAAATGCGTTACACCACAAGGGACTTTGTATTACTCGTCAGACGATTCCGCTTGATGAAAGAATGCACTTTAAAGATCCAAGTATCACTGGTTTGTTGCCCTTGATGAAGCCGGTAGATGCATTGAATGGTTTATGTGAATCGTCCGTTGATCATATGAGCGACTCCGGTTAGGCTGAGTGGTTTCACCGAGTCACTTTCTTTCACTGAATAATGGAAATATTCCTAACCATCTTTCTCGAGATGGTTCATTCCTGAAGTCGTAACTGGAAGAAGGCCTGGAACAATCACATTATGGTACGAATAACTTGTTATTTAGATCATGTTAGGTTTCCAGATTGGTCACATCGGGGGCAGCTTAGTCAATGGTTAGATAAACTGATTGACGTGGAAGAGTGTTCTGAGGAATTTCCCTTGTGCATCTGCACGCGTTCATTGCATCTTAGCCTTCTGCCTCTTTTCCTCTCTACTCCATCGGGAGAGTCGTCAAAACGCAGCAATCTGAAAAAAGGCACAGAAGTGCAAGGCGATTACAGCTACACTCGCTCAAACCGAAACCTGCATGCTGGATTTTATGGATTATTCGAGGCCCGCTGCTCTCGAAATCCGTCTCCAAGATGCAAATCACGAAACATTATGATCAGGTTTTAACGCTTAAGTGCCTTACTTGGACTATACGCATTCTCAACATTCTATGATCCCATCAAAACAGAAAGAGGACAAATGTCGCGAGATATTAACATCTCATTTAATCTTCTCAGTCGCTGACTTAAAACAAACAGGCACATGGGATCAATCAATTATGGTGAACGAACGCGCACAAACATACAAAGATCACCTTATGTGCACAGAAGTTTTTGATACAAGCAGTCCACTTACCGTGGAGTTGACCTTTTACTCCTAAATTTAGTAATCTTTGTATGCTTGTACACGTTCGTACACCATAATTGATTGATCCCATGTGCTATATATGTGCCTGTTTGTTTTAAGTCAGCGACTGAGAAGATTAAACGGAATGTTAACATTTCGCGACAGTTGTCTTCTTTCCGTTTTGATGAAATGGATAAAGGGAACTCAATGCTTAAAATTCTATGATCTACCGGCGCACCAGTGTCCCTCGGACCCTCACAGTACACTCATATTTTCAGAAGGCCCTGGTCGAAATCTCAGTTTCACTACCACATAAAATTAGCGGTTTAAAATTGCAGACCACCGCCATAGTTTATTGTGGATTCAGNTGCATAAACCTGTATGCAGTTTCCCTCTGAGCTGTGCACGCCTACGTGTGCATCTACTATCTGTTATCTGAATGCAACCCAAACAGAGGTGAAATGACACCGGAGACAGGCGATTGAGCGCAGTTCGCAAACTCTGTTACCATACTGGACGGGGTGACCGTTACACACATTCACTTACTGGTTCCCTTAGAGTCGGGGCCGAATTCACAGTAGTCCATTTTGTGATCGAATGTTGCTGGTAGTGTACAATAAGCACACACGCGCACCAACGGACTGACCAACGAAATGACCTTGAGAATCGTATGATGTCGTTACCCCCTATCAAGCACGATTGCCCGCCACTAGACATACAGGTTGCCCAATTGATCGCGCAACTGAAGCTTCAAATGTGCTGGCCTGGTTGGTTGATTGAAGCATGAGGTAGGCCTTTGTAGTAGAGTGAATAGGTTCGACTGTGGCATTATGCTTAGACCGTAACGTGTACAATGGACAAACCCATGTTATCAGTGCTATTTAGACAAATCTCTCAACAGTGAAAAAACGAAACAGAGATCAAATTTGCGTGTAGTGTGTACACTAAAGCTTGCTTGACCTTATGATAAACAGTCATTGTCTCGCGATTTCATTTAATCTTTTCAATAGCTGGGTATGATATGGAATAGTCGAAGTTTGGAAGTCTCCATTGACGTCATAACCGAACGTAATAACCGAACATAATCGAACTATTGAACCCGTTCCGGAACTTGAGCAGATGCGCTGTGTGTACACTATCGATCTATCATTTCAATTCATCCGAACGTCATAACCGACTTTCAGAAGCCCACGTTCGGAATGTGTTTTTGTGGCCACATAGTGCACAAAATCCGTATTGAGCACACCAATACCGCATCAACATTGTTGTCCATTTCAGAATGACAACTCGGATGAGGAAATGAAGACAAAGTTCATCATTCTAAAGGATGTACACTCACCGCGAATAAACCAATGCGTCACCAAACAACTGTGAAATTTCACTGCAAATTACCAGGTAAAACTAAATTTCGTGGTCAAAACTAAGTCGGAAGGAGGGCAGAAGGAGCCAAAACACCTACGATAAATGCAGTGTATGCATCGACTACCGGATTGGACAGAAACTCACCGTTCTGGTTAGTAAATCACTTCCTAACCATTCCGAATGATCGGAAAAAGAGGAAAATCTGTTAACACAGTATTTACGCATCTATTTTAATTGAAAGATGTGTTAAGGGTATACGATTTACGCAGCAGTTATCGATTTAACCATACCTTGTGCAATTCAATTTGTCCGGATATCATTTCAGTTTGTTTGAACATCATTTCAAGATGTCTGAACATCAGTTCAAGCTGTCGTCTGGTCGACCTCATCGGCGCTGACAAGCCACCTAGCGATGTCTGGATGACCACCATGCAGCACAGATTTCTCTACCTCCCGTTGAAACGCGGGGGTCAGTTGGGAGACGTGCCTCGGTCACACGCCCCAATTCTCATGACATAGATATTAGTTGTTTATCTTGCAAGTGTGCGTACGCGTCTATTTGTGTGTGTTCGTCCCCCTCCGCTAATGCCAATGGATCATGTGCGATCGACGCTGGAGCTATTGCCTACTTCCGTAGCATGATGCTGTAATAGAATTCATCAGCTACACCTCAAGCGGCTGAACTGGGACACCAGTCGATCATGTCAGGTCGATATACGCATCAGGGTTGACAATAGATAATGTCTTTCCAGGGGGAGGATGACGAACACACACACCGACGCGTACGCGTGCTTGCAAGATGAACAACCAATATTTACCTTATTCCCATAAGGTAAATATTGGTTGGGAATTGGACGCGTGTGACTGAGGCACGTCTCACAATCGTCCTCGGGGCTTTAACGGGCGGTAAAGAAATCTGTGCTGCACGGTGGTCATCCAGACATCGCTGGGAGGCTTTTCAGCGCCGATGAGGTCGACGAAACAGCTCGCACTGATGCTCAAACATCTTGAAATGATATCCGGACAATTTGGCTTGCATAAGGTATGGAAAACAATAACACCTAAAGCTTGTGGATTAGTGACCTCAGGGCCTGGTTGATTAAGCGTACCGAAAAGGGATGGCGGCACAGAGACGAGGACAAGAAAGGTCACAGACCAGGGAGTGTTCGATTTCTTTCAGGTGACTATAAACCACAATGGTTACTATACCTTTTGCAAGTCAAGTTGTCCCAGTATCAAATCAAGGTGTCCGGGAATCATTTCAAGCTGTCCCGGATTATTACAAGCTGTCCTGCGATTATTTCAAACTGTCCCGGTATCATTTCAAGATGTCCCCGGATTATTTCAAGCTGTCGCATAGGTTACGAATCCGATACTGCCTAAATATTGATAGAGGATCACAAGAGAACGCATTCCTGAACCCAGATATGTGTACAAATATGATTCAACGTGTACCTATGATTTACTCGAAAGCGCTCAATTATCAGGATATTGGAATAAAAAATGATCACTTTTCCATTGGGAAATTCTTCTTTGCTGCCACAATTAGCAGGATCAATTGTGTGGAAAGCGGAGCTGCAGCGAGTCAGACAGTTGTGCATGTTATGCGTCACCTAATGACTGTCAGTTTTCAGAAGTCTGAAAAGAAAGTAGTGGAGCACTTGTAGTGCATTTACATTGGTAGAGAATTTAGGCGTACAGAGTTATAAAATGATTATTGTAACGTTTTAATCCAAACTGGGACTCTGAGTATGGGCTCTGAATTCGATAATCTTTTGCACTGAAATCATAAAGAATTACTTTAACACCTTCATCACACAAAGTAAACCGGGTGAATTTAGGTTAACATCTGACATACACAAGTAGTAATTACAAACTGTCTTCGAACAAACTTATTGCCACTGTCGCATTTCTCGATTCAGTTTCACCATGAGTGCAACACCGTGGATTGTTTCATCTTTTGTTTATCAATGTGTGATATTCATCAACTGATACTGTGCCTCCAAAGTTTCTTCTAAAATACCGCGTTGTGGTCCAGTCATGATCATCGAAAGGTGTTCTGATCTCCTAACACTTACTAACTTA